TAAAATAAACCCCCTGTAAAATCTAATTTCTTTTTAAAAAAAAAAAAAAAAACCCAAACAAAACAAACAAAAAATAAAACCCAAAAACACAAACAAATTACAGTAAAACATAAAAAAGTTCTCAAGTGGAAAGTTATCATTCCCAATGTTCTTGAGCTGTTCCTTCTTTAATCATTCTCTCACATTCTCCTTCACCAAACTTGGTCCACTTAACAGTAGTATGATTTTTTTTTTTATATATTTTTTTAAGACTCATTCAACAGCTTAATTATAGCTAATAAATTCTGAGGTTGATAAAGTTTTTGTACTGTTGCCATTTTGACTAAGGCAGAGGAGATGAAAGTGAGAAAGGTATTCAGTGCAAAGTCAGATTTGTGCCATTACATAAAATGAAGTCCAGTAGGTATAATATTCACAGATAGCATCGATTTAGCAATCTTTCTCGTGGGTTGATTTACTTTCACATAATAAAAATGGCCTATCATTTAGGATACAGTTCATAACACTATGAAAAATTACTACTGTAACGTAAATGAGACCACATGCTCCCTGATTTTTTTCAGAATCATGCTAAGTGGGATTTGTTTAAATTAAAACAGCTGTTTCAAAAATAAGCAAAAATAAAAATAAATATTTTATGTGGCACAATCTCACCACTTTACAGGTATACTAGAAACACAGACTCTTAAAGCATTTTGATACTGATTACAATTTTGATTAAATGGTATTAAAATTTTATATATAAATTATGTGACAGTTGGCTTGGATAAACATTCAAGAAAATTCTCAGCATTAATATTTCTTGTGGAGTTTATAATCAAAGCAAGCTACCTTTTAAAAATACCAGTACACCTGTGATACATCCTCTGCCAAGTCTCTGGCCTTCTACAGTACACACAGGTTTGTCAACTGTGCAACACCATTTACAGTTTATTACAATTAAATCAGTCAGTCTCTCTGTTATATGCATCAAATTCAATTTTGTATTATTTATAAACTGGGGTTTTATTCTGAGTTAAAATGAGCTATGTTTTTCAACCCTTCACCAATTCTAAATGCTTAGTTGTAAGAGTAAAACATTTACACATTTGGGGATTCTTGCTTTAAATGCAGTGCTTATCTCTAAAAAAAAAAAAAACCAAACAAAAAACAAACTATGCAAAGAATAAAAACCTACGTAAAAAGTGAATGCAGTAGTACTACAAAGTCATCTGAAAGTACATTTAGAATTTTTTAAAAAACTTTAGACCCAATGAATGTGAATATAGATTTAGTGACACTTAACTATATAAAAAAAAGTTTCCGCATTGAAAAAAAAGTATTTCGGTTTGCTGACATTGTTCTTCATGGCTATAGCTATAGAATTATAGTGGTGACAGAACAACCAAATAAGTGAATATGGTAAATACTGATACTATTTTAATTCTACAACATAATTTTAACACACTAAAAGAAACTGTTTTATTGCTGAACAAAGTTCTCTTCAAAACCTTTTGTGAAACTGTTAAATCTGTGCAGTGATAATCTAGGATTTAAATTCAAAATACAATAAAGTACAGGTGTAAAATTAACTTTGTGTAAGTTTCTTAATACACACTGGGATTTTTTAGGTAAAACTTTAAAATAACGTTCTCCTGAAATACCAGCATGGTTTTCACGCTAAAAGAGAGAGGTATGCAGGACTTATTCCACAGGAGATACGCCATGTGTATTTATTTATTTACTTAAGACAGTGGGCTTCCAATATGACTAGATATGAGCACTGAATTATCAGAAAATGGCTGCATTTTAAAAGAAGGTGAAGCTGATACCAATTATTAATTTCAATTACTTATAAGTGACCCAGATGAAACATCTAGGCCCTTTCAAAATATTTAAAATCTGCGTTGAGTAAACACTACAATGAGGAACTTCAACTACAAATTGGTATTCCCACCACCCCCAATGCCCGCCCCCCGCACTTTATCAGTGTATTTACTAGTTGTCTCAGGCAAATACCTAATTAAACAAAAGGTAGTCTCACCTGTCACCTGAAAGTACCACTGCAGATCATGAAAGACCATTAGTGAAAACTGATTTTTGCAACATCAGGTCAAACTTTCAAAGATAATCAAATCCTTACCACTCATTACTCCTGACAGAGACAGGTTTTAATCTTTTTTCTATTTCTTTTTTTCTT